AACTTACATATATATGTACAGAGTCTGTCCCCCTCTTTATGGTTTGAGCAAATCCCCATTTTAAGCAAGATTCCACTATTAATAATATTTCTTTGTTTGGCCTGAAACCAAACAAAAAATTGGCGTGGCCTTCTGCATTCTGTTGAGTAGTCTTGTGTTTTGTTCTGTTACAGGGAGTTGCAGCATCTGGACATCCTGACTAAGTCCCCCATCCTGTACCACTTCTCTGAGACACTGCGGGGGCTGTCCACTGTCAGGGCCTACAGGTCTGTGTGTCTGCATGTCATGTCATGATTCCTTTTGACAGTTTGCTTTTTCATCTTCTACAGACACTACTAACTTCTAATACTTTCTTCCACTGCAAATAGTGCATTCAGACTGTCTCTTTGAACATCAAACATGTTGTTACGCAATGGAGAAAGCAAATAGTTTGCCCCTTTGCTGCTGCTTTTTTGTTGAATTAAACAAGACTGACTGTGATTCATATTGTTCTGTAGAATATTTTTAGGTTGAGTATTATGTTTCCTGCTGTTGTTTAGGGATGAGAAGCGTTTCCAACAGAAGCTGAATGATCAGATTGACCAGAACACCCTGGCCTTCCTGTTCCTGAACACTGCCAACAGATGGCTGGGAGTCAGGCTGGTGAGTCCCACTATTTACCTTTCCTGTCTTCTCTTCTCTTTGTTTATTTACATCATTGTTCATTGCAATGTACATTTTGTACCCATTCTCACAGAATGCTATCATGGTTACCATGTTATACAATGTTTTCTGTGACATTGTGCAGGACTATCTAGGTGCGTTTGTGGTGTTGTGGGCTGCCATGTGTTCCCTGGCAGTGGCTGTGTACAGTGACCTCCCTGTGGGACTTGTGGGTTTGGCCCTCACATATGCACTCATGGTAAGTAATGTTAGCAATGTCCCTTGCTTGCCTGTCCTTCCCCCATTCCCTCCAACCTTGCTACTGCGCCCTGTGGACTAGTAAGTTAGACTTCATACACCAATAGTGACCCTCTTGTACATTTTTTTACTAACATGTTAGTTATAAATCATGCAAATTGAGTGACTTGTCATCTGTTATACTTTGCTATATCTGTTACTTTCTCAAATCACAGGTGTCCACTTACCTGAACTGGGGTGTGAGGAACATTGCAGACATTGAGATGCAGATGGATGCTGTCCACATGGTGTCCACCTTCTCAGAAATGCCCATTGAACCTTACAGGAAGGCAGAGGGTAAGAACATGTAATTTAAGACTTTAAGTGGAATAGATACATTGACTGATGAATAAAACTACACTCTGTAAGAAGAGCACATGACATAGTGCAAAGGTGTCTGAAATTTGTTCTGATATGTCCCAGTATTACATACACCATACACTACATAATTTTTCATCTGCAGATTTAAGGGACATGCATGGTATTTGCTCAGTATTAGTCTCAGTACTATGATACTGAACACCTGTCATTAAGCAGTGTTTACTGTACAGTGATTGTTTATTTCTTCCAGGTAACGTAGAGCCGCACCGTGAGTGGCCAGGGCGCGGTGAGATCGTGCTGGAGCACCTGTCCACACGTTACGCTCCTGATCTGCCCGCTGTACTGAAGGAAGTCGACCTCCGTATCAAGCCTGGCGAGAATGTAATAAACTTTAATTAAGCCTACCGAAAAATTAAAATATTCCCTGGAAATAACAAGATGGCATGTACAGTATATACAGATTCAATGTAGTTTGGAAATTCCCAAACTCCTTTTGACTACTACATACAATAAACAGACGATCTGAAGTTTGTGAATTTTGTTTTGTAATTGTTATTTTCCAGGTGGGCATCTGTGGTAAAACTGGCAGTGGCAAATCTTCCCTCTCCATGGCTCTCTTCAGGATGATTGACAACTTCCAAGGTAATAGTCACCAAAGATGACTTCTCTGTACATGTGTCCGCTTAATTAATGTATGGTAGTCCTGTATTCAACATATGGTTGTCATTCAAGGATACTTATCAGGGACATGTAGAGGGTTTGCATGCCAGAAAGCAAATCAGCACCATGGAGATGAAAACTTCACTGGTTCAAAAAAAACTTCAATGGAAAGCAAACCAGCACCATGAAAAGGAAAACATCATTGTTTCTATGGAATGCAATTCAGCACCATGGAAAGGAAAACTTTACTGTTTTCATGGAAAGCAAATCAGCACCACGGAAAGGAATACTTCACTGTTTCCATGGATTGCAATTCAGCACCAAGGAGAGGTAGAAATATGTATTACTAAGAGTCAACATTTCAAGGTATCTGCATTCTTTAGTGAATGGAACTGCAATGACATGTCCATATTTTCTGTCCAGGTAAGATAGTGATTGATGGGATAGACATCTCAGACGTCCCCCTGAGCACCCTGAGGTCACGTCTGACCATCATCCCTCAGGATCCCATCCTCTTCAGCGGAACTATCAGGTACAATGGCCATACTTTCTAAGTGTGTAAAACACAGACAATACCAGTGGGCTAGTCCATTGGTAGCACTGTGTATTATCTGTGTGTATCTGTATAGCTGGTATTACCACCCTTTGGTGTAACATACCATCGCAACTTGTGCCAAGCAGATAAGCAATGTATAAGTCTTGAATGTGACTCAGTTGTGGAATCAAATTTGACCTACCACATGCAAAGTGAGCATTTTATCCACTAGGCTATTGCTATGGTTAAGGTGATGTTATTTCATGAAAGCTGTTGGTTTCAGGTTTAACCTGGATCCAGCGGGACAGTACAATGACAAGGAATTGTGGGATGCTGTGGAGATCGCACAGCTGAAGCCTCTGGTTGTCTCCTTCCCTGAGGGTCTTGGTAAGTCATCTATCATGTTTGTCTCTTCCATACAAGGGAAGGGAAAATCTTATCCCACTTTGGTGCCTTGATAGCTTATGTTACGAGAAAAGCAAAGGGACTTTGTATGTTCAACGCAGTGCTACAGTAATATGTTGTACCAGTATGAGATTTATATGTTAACAGTTGATGTATTCAGGTTTGAGAGAGCTTCCATGGTCTGATGTCTTTATTTTTATTCCCCAGACACAGCAGTAAGAGAAGGTGGCTCTAACTTCAGTATTGGGCAGAGACAGGTAAAAACCATATTTTTATACTATATCATTTTTTGGCTGTATTCTCAACCTAGAATGGCTTCAATAGTAAGAAGTCTTGGTACACTGTAGACTAGATTGAAATGTCATGTTGGAAAGATATACCTACAGTTATCATTCCACTGTTCTTCACTCATGCAGCTTTTCTGCCTGGCCCGTGCCTTTGTCCGCAAGTCTCGTGTCCTGGTTATGGATGAGGCTACAGCACTAGTGGACATGGAGACTGTGAGTATATATAGTCAACCTGCACAGGATTGCATGTTTTACTGAAGTCCTGGCAGCGTTTCTGTTCTGATTTTGAACTTTTTACTTCTTTTTCAAAACTGAGACTGCATTCATAAATACCTTATTTTAAACAGCATTCCAAGAGATTTCAACTGCATATTTTTCTCTTCTATTCCAGGAAGCCGTGCTGCACAGAGTGGTGAAGACTGCCTTCACAAGCTGTACTGTCATCACTATTGCTGTGAGTAGCCATTTCCTTGTCATTGCTGGATTTTAGTCTCATTGTGTCTAATCCTTGCCCTTTAATTTCATACAAAAATTGTGTAACGGTACTTAAGTTTTGTTTTGTCTTTGCCCCTAGCATCGTGTTGAAAACATTCTTGAATGTGACCGCGTGCTCGTGTTTGGTGGAGGTAGAATCGTGGAGAACAACAAACCTAGCGTTCTTCTGCAGCAAGAGGACAGTATCTTCTCTTCCTTGGTCAAGGCCAACCTATAAACAACCAGCCACTTTGTTCAACAGAATTGACAGATTTTGAGTGTGCTATGCCTATGTTATCTGTTTCAAGTTGACCACTGGTGATATTCGAAGCTTATCATAAATTTGATTAAACCCCAAAAATGTAATTCAATGTATGATGTTGATTGTAATAAGTCTTACTACCAGTAACTCGTTGCATCACTTCAGTTTTCACTGGTCACCATAAGCCATGCCTTTACTAATATTCTGTCTGCTGTAATCCTGTTGATAATTGTATGGGGACTTCGTTGATACTAGTAATCAAGGGAATTGGACAGTTGATTCAGTTCCCAGTGTCTACAATTAATGACTGTTTGATAAATACTTTGTAACTCAAGTCCTTCAAAATTGTGTTTAGATTCATGGCTGAATTGACACTGCTAATCCACCTAAATGAGCATCTTTAGGTTAGCTAGAAATGTTGTTCCTAACATTATGTGTCTCTGTAGCTTCCAAGTTTGGCAAAAATGTTGTAAATTTCTTGTACAAGTTTCCATGATTTGTAGTATCTAGTAAATATTTCTTTGCCTTTTCAGTGGGCAATTCATTGGAGTATGCAGGCTATTATATATAAGTGGTAGACAGTTTTACCAACTGGCAGATAATAGCAGTAGTTTAAAGTTGTTATATGATTACTAAGGTCTGATATCCTTATCATACGACTGTTGCCAAAAATTGTTGCATGTTTTTCCGTGGGAGCAATTGGGAAGATGTTGCTGGTAGTCTCTGTATACAGGAGATACCATATTGTATCCAATATAGAATGTGGTTGACATGCTTTCTGGTCTTGGTTTGTGATTGACGTAAAAAATACAAGATGGTGAAATTTTGTTACATTAAAAAAAAGGCTACAACTTACAAGGTCTGAACTAATTCAATCCTTTCATTTGTTTTCATCAGTTTTAGGTAGACATAGTTGCTAGAATATAGATGTTACAATCTATGTTATTTTTCAACATATTCAACTCATTGTACAGGAATAAATTGTGTAGCTTAAGACACTATAACTACTACAATGGCATCTACCAATGATTACTAAATGCTCCCAAATTGTGATTTCTTGGACTTTTATTAGAAAACTTTGCAGCGATATCACAGAAGGAAAGGTAAACTGTTTTGTAAAGGTACATAAGAAACACAGAGGGAGGTGGCAGTTAGGGCTGACAGTTCATGAACAACCTTCAAACCTTGTGTCACCACAAAATCATAACAGTTCTAGTAACACTACCTATACAGGACAGAAGTGTATGTAATATTTAAATGAATGAACATGTACATCATCTACTGTGTATTTAAGTGGACAACTTACCACTAATACATGTTCTGAAAAGACTTCATATGGAAATTTTTATACCTCTGAACTCATTTGCATACAGACCATTTGGTGCCACCAGTCTTTATCACCATATCTTTATGTATTTTGCACATTTCATGGAACTAAAACTTGAATCAATACTATATCAAGCAACTAAAACCGTACCACATCTTCTCTTTTAATCTCATCATATAGCTGTAGTACAGTTTGTACCATTACATCTCTTTCATAGCACACATCAGGAGCATATATGCTGTGTCTTCAAAAGCAAACAAAAAATCCAAATCAACATTCTTAAAAACCTAAAAGGACTGCATCTAAAACAACATTACCAAGCCCTTGCCACAGGATAATTCTAATATTCCTGCATCTTGCTATGGAGCTTACTCATTCATAGTGGAATCAAATAAGGACTGCCGTTTGTTCTGCATTCATTGCCTGTGCAGTCATAGTATAAGTTTTAAAATAAGTGTCAGGGTGTATGTACTTTGTAATCGTATAATAGGCAAGATGGGCTTCAGAATCCCTGTCTTTAAAACACACCCATGGCAGTTATTTCCGAAAGATAGGTGAGGAAATATTTCATTAACCTATGTAGGTAACAATAAAACTGATTCAGAATCAGGCTACCATAGCCTTTCTAAGTAAGTACCAGTAAATAGAAATGTATACATCACAAGATAATAGTAGTGAAATCACAGACCCCTGAAACTTTCACCTGACTTCAGCATATATCTGTTGGTTCACTTATTTAATCATCGTCATCCGAACAGGCAGCGTCATCAAATATGTTCATCAGGTTCTTGGGCCCGATCCCTGAGCGGATCATTACAGAGCCATCCTCACCGTAGCTGCTGCCGCTGTCGGAGTGGCTGGTGGGTGTGTAGGGGTGGCTGGTCACCAGGCTCAGGTTGGGACTCAGGTGAGCCTGGGTGTGGTTGCCATGGAGAGGGGAGGAGCTCCTGGGCATCGGGCTGGAGTGACGCAGGATGGGCGTGGCAGGGCGAGCATCAGGGGTGAACCTCACTTCACTACAAATGCAAAAAGTATGTCATAATTATAAATACATTGTACAATTCACAGAAAATAGAACTTGGTTATCAAAATTGACTAACTGCCCATGTATTGACCTATGGAAAGTGGCATTATGTCTTGCAATGGTTGATCCTTCGTATTTTCCAAACAATAAAACTTGGATGTTGAAGAGGAGAATTACAGTCTTATGGAAGAGGACTTTGCCATCTCAGAACATAGACACACAACAAAACAGTTACTCAAGCATTTTGAAAATATATCCAGTTGCTATCTGTTTTCCTGATGTATCTCACTACCAAGATGTCTAACCTTCATCAGTATCATGGAGGATAATCATGTTGGTAGTGTACCTGGGACAGGTGATGAATTGTCTGGGTCGTTCAAGCTCCTCATCAGTTGACAGGCTGAGGTTGGCCACACCAGATTCAGCCGAGTCCTTGCTGTGGCCTTCACTCTCAAAAGCATCATCTTCAGAGTAGCTGTAGTCCCAGTCAGAGGGATGACGACACCTCTCTGCTGATGCAAGAACAGAACATTTCAAAGTAAAGCATGTGCTAGTCAAAGAAACTTCTGCGCTCCTTACGTACAAGTATAACTCAAACTTGTTACTAAGCAACTAGCCAAATGCTATTTGTTTTGTTGGTAGTCTTGTAGAGCATTTCTTCACTATACTAACTTTGAAACATTGTCTTTCACCGAGCGCTGTCCTTTCGAAAGTAAAAAGAAAGGTCTGTTCATTAAAAAAACATGACAATTTGATGAAGGGATTAACAGAAAAATGAATTTTATGTTTGAGTCAACATACTTTTTTATGAGTACATGTGACGTTACTATGAACTTTCAACTTTTTGTCAAACAGAAGAGCTACTGTAAGCCATACTTACGTTGCTTCTCCTGTGGCTGCCCCTTGATTGCCTTGACAGGGAGCAGGATGGTGCAGTACATGGTGTGGAACAGGCTGGACATGAAGCCGTACACAGATAACACAGCACCCTGCACAAACCGCACAGCCTGCTGACGTCTCCTTCTCCACAACACTTTACTGACCTCAGGCCTGGCCAGGATGTCAGCAACCTGAAAGACAAAGCAGGTGATTTGTAAGTAGACACATAATACATATGTCTATTAGTAAGTGTTGTTGGAGGAAGGATAATTGTGTAAAGGTGTGTGGTAGGAAAGGGAAGGTGAGGGACCTGAGACAAAAAGGAGAACAGATTTGTTCTTGAAGAATTGCTTCAAAGAAACTTACTAGTAGCTATAACGTCTAAGCTTTCGAATCAAAGTCATCAAAAATACTTGTCAGATACCGGTATATGAGATACATTTTGGAGACTGTTCTGATTTGAGTTTTGTTTCTTGTGTTACTCTACTTATTCTACAACTAGTATTAATGTGTATAGCTACTCACTGAAGGTCTCTGGAAATAGTCTGGGTGCATCATGAGCTGGATGAGGGTCCTGAGCTCGTGGGACAGCCCTGCAGTGAAGGCTGCTGGGATCATGCCCTGTCTGAGCTGCTGCCAGCCCACACCGTTACGGGGTAACTCCAGGTCACAGGCCACCTCCAGAATAGTCACTCCCAGGCTGAGGATAAGAAAGAAAAATACAAATTTTACTTCCTCATCAATTGTACTAAAATTGTCCAGAAATATCTACTGTCATAGTGTAATTACATCAACAGTGTGTATCATGGACCATGGTTATGTTGAATTGAGACAAAACTTTAAATGATGATAACAATATTGTACAACAATGCATGACCATATTCTTGTACAGTACTAGTATTTGGTGGAGTATTTTGTGACAAGAAAATATATGAACATAAGGGGGTATGGGTACTTCACTAGGTAGGGATGTATTTATTTGGTCCTTTGTTATCCAATTGTGTCCTAATTGTACCAAGTCTGGGTGCTAAAAATTTCCATTATCACCATGGCACGGCATTGATGGGTAGATAATAGGCTAGTAAGTGGTGATTTTTCTCTAAAACATGATTTAACAAGGCTGTTATTGTTCTGTGATTGCTACCCTGACTTACACAGAGGTGATAATTGATGAATGGGCGGGTCTGATTTGTCAATGGATCATTGTACATTCTGCTTCACTTACTGAATACAATACCTAACAATGGATGGTCTGGGTGGTTGTTTTGTTGTGTTTTTGTCACTATTGTCTATGATACACAAGGAACTAGAGTCTATTTTAAGAATGGAAATTTCCTTTGTTTTCTCTGCAGTCCCCATAATATCAAAGATACCAAAAAAGTATCTTACCTAGGATTTATATATTAAACAACTTTTAGGTAATAGAGAAATTGAGGCACGCAATCATATGTTCACTAGTATGTCTGTGACATTGCACCAAATCATAAAAATTCATGCAGACTAACCTGAAGACGTCAGCATGTGGTCCAAAATGTCCCTCCAACAACTCAGGTGCGATGTACTTAGGGTCACCTTCCTGTGCATCAGACACGTCTTCCTTGTCCATCTCAACAACAAGTCCAAAGTCCCCAATCTTACACACGCCGTCATTGGACACAAAGATGTTGTCCGGTTTGATATCGAGATGAATGAGCCTATGGTCATGTAGGTGTTTTAATCCAGACAGTAAATCCACCAGGAAGTTCCAGACTGTTTCTTCCGGTATGTCATGTCGCCCTTCCAGGTACTGCTCTAGGCTACACTGACACAGTTCTGTCTGGATGTAGAGGTGTTGCCTTTCCTCCCAGGCTTTAAAGAACTGCACACAGTTAGGATGCCTTCGGAGTTTCTCCAGCCTGTAGGCTTCTCCTATCTTTCTCTTGCGGTCATACTCTCCTCGAAATCTCTCTCTGGACCGTTTGACGGCGTATAGCTTCCCGTCTTCTTTGCTCTTCACTTTGAAGACTTCGCCGAAGGACCCCTCCCCAAGTTTGTCAACAATTTCAAAACACTGGTCGAAGAAAAGTTCCTTACTGCCTGCGTCGTAGTGGGGACTTGAAATCAAGCTATCGGGACCTCTAAAAGACACACTCTGGGGTCTTTGGAAAGCTAACTTATTGTTGACAAAAACTCGACTGACCGGGGGAACGCTCTTGGCCGGCGGGCGCGGAGGTTGGGAGTCCCGAGGAGTGTGGCCGTTCGCAAGCCGGTACTTCTTCTGGGAGAACGGGCCCTCCTCGGCGAAAAAGTGCGGTACGGGTCGCGGTGTTCCTGGGTTAGCCATAGTCAAATATTCCCATCCTTCCTATAAACCTTTAAAATGTGACTAAAATGACTAAACATGACGAAATGTCGCAAGTTCAGACGACACGAAAGTACTTCCGCGCCATCTTGGATGAGGTAATCCTCTATCGTCGAAAAGCGCGCCAACCAACTCTCATGGGAATTCTAAATCTCGCGAGAACAAACATTTGTGGTCCACTGTATAAAAAATATAAGAGCCTAACTTTCTTATAACAAATGCGGTAACGGAGAGTACACTTTTGCTTTTCCTTAGAACCAGTGATTATCAAAATTGAATAGATAAATGGTCTTGCTTTAGCTACTGCCTGAATGATATTTTCATCAGTTTGTAATGTATTTCAGGCAAAACATATTTTGAAGGCGGCAGCCTTGGTCATCCAAAGACCCAACTTGTTGCTGACACAAAGGTGAAAGTATGTGGAAGTGAAACTGTGTTACGTGGATTTCTGAGCGTCAAATTGACGTAAAATGCCGTTCTAGCAGCGTTCAAACGCTATCTAGGTTTTGTACAAACTTTGAAGAAGGATGGAGCACCTGAGCACGCTGTGGAGTGCCGTGGACAAGCCCGACCTTGTGTGGTTAGGAGTGGGCACTGCCTGCACTTCCCTTTTTGCCTATCTATGGAGAAGGGGCAAGAAAACCAGGGACACCATAAAGGTGACTTAAAAACACTCCACATAGATTTTCCCTTGGTGATTTAGACAGATAACATTCTGACTCTGACCCTTTTAAGTTGGATTATGGTTTTCCTAAATTGAATAAAGATCATGATAATTAAAAATATCATATTTGCATGATATGCTCACCTGAGTTGAAGTGAAGAAGACCACCAGTCACCATCTCCTCTTTTACGAACCAATAATCCTGTGGCACTGTGATGGGTAGCTCATATGCATCTTAACATAACATAACAAACATCTGCTTGAGGATAAAGTTTTCACATTTTTTCCCATCAGGATGCCATGTTCATCGATGCAAACATCTATGAAGTGGTGGCAGGCACACCTAACCAGACCATCCCCTATGCAGTGATAGAAGGTGTAATAGTGCCCGTGGGGAAACCTTTGCAGAGTCAGCTGGGTGTGGAGGGGGTGATACAGGAGCTACTGATGGAAGAACACAGGAGGGTCTGGAACAAAGTCTCCAGGATATGGTAAGAACATAAAATTGCTAGATAAAAAAAATCTTGTTCCTTAGGTGAAGACGTGCACTACAAAATAACACTGTTAACAACAATCATTATGTTTACCTTGGCAGAAGGAAAGCATATTGTTTTTGCTCTGTTTCTTCTTCTTACTCTTCTTCCTCTTCTCCAAATAAATAAGGTCAATGACCAGGACCAGACGTCTGTCACCATGGTAACTGGTGTTGGGTTTCATAATGATGCAAGTGCCATGCAGAACTGAGTTCACGTAGGGCTGCATGGTCACCATATACACTGTATATGAGTGTGAATGGAATAAACAAAGCAGTAGTTTGTTATAGCTGGGCCATGTAAAGGTACCGGTAAACATGATGTGTTTGCATTGCAAATGTTACCTTTCTAGTTTCATAACCTTTTGCAAACTTTTATTTTTGTTTACCTCTCAGGTATGACACATCCAGGACTATAAGGAGGGTAACCAATCGCATCCCCTTCTCCCTGGCTTGCAAAGGGGGGAAGGTGAGAGTCCTGGAGCCCACACAGGCAGCCATGTTGTCTCTGGATGTCATCTACGACAAGTTCGAACCCGAAGATGCCACCATGGGGAAGAGGGTAGTCGATTGGATGAGTGGCGAGGCTATTAAAGGGTACCAGGAGACAGAGAAGATGCTGAAGGTGGGCACACAGCTGTTTGGTTACGGTGAGCTGGCCCTAGAGGAAGGGCAGGTTGTGCTGAGGAACCCAAGCAACAACGCCACATACTTCATCACCAATCTGGCGCCGTCAGAACTGGCCAAGCAGTACCAGACCAAAGTGACCATGCTGAAGGCCTTCACCATCCTGTTTGGGGTGGGGACACTGATCGCCCTGTGTGCCTTTGCAGCGAAGTGGTACAGGAGATACCGAGAAAACCAGGAGTTCTTCGCACAGACGGAGCAGGTCAGAGCAGCGCGGAGACGGCAGGACGGCGAACCGCCAGAGGATTTAGACGAGGAGCATGCCTGCGTCGTGTGTCAGACCAACGCACGCGAGGTGATCATCTTGGACTGTGGACACATCTGCTGCTGCGCCGACTGTGCAGACTTGCTGCAGCCCAGGAAGTGCCCCATATGTCGGCGTGTCATCGCACGCATTCTGCCCGTCTATAATCCTTAGAAATACATTTATCATCAGAAATTTGAGTCTTTTACTGTACAACTTTTTTATTATAAAGATCAAAGATTCTAGTTTGTAAAATTAAAAATTTAAAGGCCTTGGAAAGTGACTTTAGTATTGGAACAAACTTGAAATGACCTGTAAGTAATATCAGGAATTCTGCTGCTAGTGTCTTAGCTTTAACATAGTCATGATAATTGCCCTGTGTAAGGAATTAGAGTCTATGTATAATGTTCCACACTAGACATGTGTACTGAAATATGGCACTTTAAATCCTTTATTGTTTACTACACTGTATTTAATATAAGGCCATGTTGATTTGATTATATGGATGACATCCTCCGGGAGCCCCAAAACTGATGCGCGCGTGCGAATAAAAAAAAAAGTTTTGCAAAAAAAAAAGGTAGTTTTCATTATGAATACTAGGTGGTCATGAGGGTTGAACAAATGGGACAGAATATGGTTTGGCGTATAATCTAATCTTCAAGTTCATTTCCTTACAATTTCGTCTTTTTTCGTTTGATTTTGGCATTCTACGACATTGGTATAGTTTTTACTTATTTTTTGTAACTTACGGTACATTTTTGCTCATTTTGCAACTGTTTTGTACGATTTACAGTATGGTTGAAAAAGTTTTTTTTTTTTTTGGAAACGGCCAAAAATTCATGCGCGCGCGGATGTCATCCATATAATCAAATCAACATGGCCTAACCAGCCATTTGCACATCATGTTCAGTATAGTACTATTCTTTGCCAAAATATGGTTGATGATACTTGATTTGCTAAAATATGGTTATTCAGCTATGTAATGATGAATGAATTGAAATTACATGTACTATTGCTATAATTCATGTTTACAAGCAAACATTATGTTTAACTTGGTACAATCATGCATGGTGTTGTTTTGGGGTTTCTCTATGCTTACAACATATCCCATAATGGATACATGATGTAGAAAATCATTACACTGTCTGAATTAAAGAAATTAATTCATATTTTTGTGCTGTCTTCTCATATCATATAAAAATCCACAGAACTACACGTAATAAGTCAAGCAATTTTATCAATTTTTCATCAGACACAGGACAACATTCAGGACATGGATGTGTGTTCCTTTACGGAGAGGATGTAGGATTCGGGAGGTATAATGGTACATGTATAACAACTTTTATGTGAACACCAAGGAAGTGGGACCCAGCAAATTTCATTGGAGTCCTTTGATTGAATTATAGGTAACCTTAAACATACTAGTAGTTTTAACGATTATCGTTACAGGATAATCAGCACCCCCCCCCCCAAAACACACACACACACACACACACACACACACACACAAAAAAGATATAGTCCAGATGCCCATCCCTCTTATTAGAATGCATGTACAATGTACATGTGTTTACTTATTTTTGTTCTAAGAGTACCAATTCTTCACATTTTAATAAATTCTATTGCAACACTATGGCTCAACCTACATGTACTTCAGCATCAACTTTACACACCCCTTAAAGTAAAATGGTATATCCCAAATATCAGCTAAGGGGTCAAAGGTGAGTATTTCATCAGCGTCTCGAATCTGGAGCCGGTAGAAGGTGTTTCAACAGCTCGACGTCCTGTAAACCTTTATTTTCCGCAATTTCTGCTCTGTCAGGTAGGAACATATTGTTAGCTATTGCGAGGACAGTGCTATTGGCCAAAATAAGCTTCCCGTATTGGGTGAAAGGGTCTGTGTGTTGAAATATTGGTAATGACCTGGAAAAAAAGGTGACGTTCCAGCACTTTCGGCCTGGCATCAAGTTCCTATCAATCACAGTCCAATTTCCCAAATTTGCGCTTGTGGATGTTAAGGGTGTCTGTATATGTTCACACGTGGCATGGCAATGATAGAGACTGTAGACTTCAGATGGAAGCCTCCTTGATTTCGTTTAAAAGTTAATGTCATGGCGACAGGTGCCACCCAACTTTAATATACTCATGGAGTAAGTAATTATGACGTCTACATAATTTGCAGTATTTCGTAATTGACCTGTCATATTTTACCAGAAGATGATCGAATTATTGTCATTAACCAATGAGTAAGTATCAAAAACATTTTCCTGTATTCGGCATAACCTTCACTCACTGACATTGAACATTGCAAAGGCATATTTATGCTAACTCATGTCATCACTATTCATGATTCAGTCAACCATGTCGAGCCATCCGCCCAAGCTGCGTTTCATCACGTACCTGTGTCCCAGCATCCCTGTGGAGTACTTTGAGACCATCATCTACTACCTGGGAGACAGGCTGGGCTGTGACGTGTCTCTTCTGTATGAGTCGCGGTTCTCCGGACCTCCCACTGACACTGCTGACCCCTTCAGTCTCAATGAAGTGGACATAGGTGACGGTAACATTTTCCTTGACTTTGTATTACGTCTTGATAAAAATGTGTGCAGATGTCTATCTGTATCATTCAACCATTGGAGCTACCCTTTGGCATAACAGACCAGCTTTGCATGAGGCATGTGACAGCTGGCTATGTTACAATGAGCATCGACCAGTCTGTCACACCTAACCTTGACATATCTTCTCCAAGCATTGTTTAAAACTTTCTAGTAAGGATGCCTCATTGACACAAATTTATGGAAATAACAAGGTCCACTTCACAACTCTGTGTAGAATTTTTTTCAGCCACATATTTTTGAATTGCCAAATGTCCTATTTGTTAGACTTTTAGAGGCCTGCATTTTTTCATCCATGTAAGCTTTCAATCAATGATTAGGACAAAAACATCCTTGCTCAGACCAAGGAGGTTAAATACAAGTACTAACCTCCTTGCTCAGACCCAGCCAGCATAACTGTAAGCAAAAATAACAATATTCTAATTCCTGTGTACATTATTCAAATAAATCCTTTGTTTTCTTGAATTAACCAGTCTAGGTTTTTTCAGGCTTTATGTGCAGTTCACCCTTCCTAAAGCTGCTGGAGAGCAAGCCTAATGTGTGTGAGCTCCTCCCTGCTGGTCCTCTTGCCGTGCACCCTAAAAACAGTGGGAACAGACCTGTCTATTTCACTGATGTCATTGTTCACAAAGACAACGTGTGAGTGTAACATTCAGTTATGTCATAACGACTTATAGTCTTTTAAACCTTAAGATGCATAACAAAATTCCATACATACTAGTTTGATCATCCAGGTGTCTGACACGTACTAGTTTATCCATGATAACTAAAGATTTGTACTTGCAACAGCTATCTCCTATTCACAACTTCCAAACTAATGCTGAAATGAAAAATTCCTTTGATCTGTATGTACTGTACATGTGTAGTTTGTTTCAAACTTTAAAGCGATTTCACATTGCAGTCAAAAGTACCCAGAATTCAAGAACCTTCGCGGAGCGCGCTGGGCGTACAATGAACCCACGTCCCTGTCCGGCTGTCTGTCTACGCTGAGTATGCTGAAGAAGATGGGAGAAAACGCCAACTTTTTCGGTCACTCAGTGCAGTCAGGTACGAGAACAATTTCTCGTTTCAGATATAGTTTCAAAGCATTGTCATGGAGTTACATAGTGCAATGCTATCCATTGTAAAGGCAATGAGCATCTTAAATCTTATTGAGATCTTGAATGTGGACTGTCACAGTTTAGGACAAACTTATGTTTCAACTTCCAAGTCTAAAGTTTATACAGTTCAGTAGAAGTATTTCACTTCAAATCATCATAGAAAGCAAGACAGTATCATCCGACATTGGCCTTGTAAGGACTTGAAATTAGAATTTTTTCTCTATTTTGTCAAAGTTTAACCCCATGTTTTTGACATCCCAGGGAGCCATTTGAAGTCCTTGCAGATGGTGTTGAACCACACTGTGGATGGAGCAGCTGTAGACTCCTTCTCACTCATGATGCAGAAAGCTCAGAATCTGGACCTGGAGAAAAACATCCATGTCATCGAGTCCTGGGGACCATACCCTATACAGCCTCTGGTCTTCAGAGCAGGCTTAGATGGTAGGTACCAGTAACTGTTTCTTGTTGTCTAGACTCTAGACCTTTCTTTTTTGTGTGTGTGCTCAGTGTCAAATGTTTCCTGTGAAAGGTCACATGCAGCTTATTTTACAGGTACATTTGTACTGTTAATGTACATGTATATACCCTGGATACAATGGATAATATAAACAATATACAGATACATTTCTTGTCAAAAGTACTAGCACTCAGACTTTTACATTCAATTAGTTTTCTCAACATTTTTTAGTTGCACTTACTGTGTTATCAGCAGTTTTTGTTCTTCCACAGTTAAGCTGAAACGGAAGGTAACCCAGGCCTTGCTAGAAGCACACGCTGATCCTCAGATGAGAGAAAAGCTGGGACAGTTTGGCATCTCCAAGTTTGTACCTGTCAACATGTCACTGTTTGACAGGGAAACTCAGCTGCAGGAGGATGTGAAAGGGTTAACGGACAGGCCGGCATATTACTAAGTGTAGACTGGAGCTCTCGGCCGGGAGTTAATGACCCGCTCCCCAACTTTGGGGCGGGTGGCCGCCAGGAGCGTGATTTAGTCAGACTAACTACTAGTGCAGAGTGCAGGTCACATTAAAGAGTTAACGAGAAATGGGTCCGTAGAACATGTGTGTTGGTTTTGGGGCCACTGAAACTCCAAGGATTTCTAATATTATTCTGTGGCCTTCCAAGTGAAAAAAATTATTCTTGACTGCTTACAGAGAGTGCAACTTATATATGTTTGTGTAAAGTGAAGGAGAGTTGAAAAATAAAGATTGTTTTAGAGTACTAGTATGTTCCATTTCACATAATACATTCATACTATTTTTGTTCTGCCAAATTTACAGGCTCTGTGCAATTTATTGTTTACAAAACTTTAATTATATCCAAAAGTACTCAATTTCATTGTACTAAAAAGTACTTGATTTGGCTGTATAGTTCTTTGCATTGCTGCACCATAGTTTTGCTGAATTCAGACCCCAGAGCCTGATGTTTTCCTTTGAGGCCTTTTGAATGGTAGACATTTCCTGTCAGACCATCCTATTATAAAGCACCTACAGACATAGGGATTCATCAATGTAGGTCAAATCAGTGGTGGGCAGCTGCAATTGTGCATAGAACTTGAATGTCTCTGATAGTTCAATTTTAGAAATACTAATGGTTAGTAACTGTAATTGGATAATTTTTTCTATTGTCTGAAAACTATCAGAGCAACTTTTATTGTTGCAGCTGTGTGATGGTTTTAGGAACATTGAATCTTATCAATGGGTAAAAAGGCATCATCCTGAATGAGATTGAGTGGATTTTTTGCATATTTATCTACCACATATGGAGAGGGAGGATTTGTGTGCAAGTATTGTCAAAGATTGACATACTAAGTATGTTTTCACAATGCAGTCAGTCAAAAATAAATGGGATCAGTTCGGCCTTATATTCAGTTTCTGAGTTTTCACTTAACAATGTAATGTTACACCAAGGACAAAATGACCTTCATTACACCATGAAATGTGTAACATACGTGACATTTTGAGATAAACTGTCTGCATGAGCCCTATATACAAATGTATATAATTTTATGTGGTATACCATTAAACATAAAATTCTAAACTACAATTTCATTTTTACAATAGGTGCCATCTGTGTACCTCTAATGCTTATATACATGTGTACATTAGATGATTGGATGCCAACAGAAGAAGTCTTGATTTCCATATTCTTTCCCATAATTTCTCTATCATTCTCTATTTGAAGTGAATTTTATTTTCAAAGTAGATTGTGTCTGATATCAACTCAGCGGCAGTCTAACAAGCCTGTATAACAGGCATATGCATTGAGACAAGATACACATTGTATTATTGATGATAATCAGTATCAAATTATTACTTGATACAAAGGAATCATCACCAATAGTTACACAAATTGTCAGTCACCTACATGTAACTGTGGACCATTTGTGACATGGCTATCCTACAAAGTTATTTGAGCTGAAATGTTGTTATTGAACATTGCTTGTAATTGTTCTTGAAAACTTAACTAGGCTGCCTGTTTTTAATTCTACTCAGGTGTTGGGCTCGCAAGAGCTCTGAAGCTGAATTCTATATTAAGCCAGGAAAATTTAATTTCTTGTTTCTTAATTTTTTTCCAGGAAATAAATGGAGCGGGCAAGCACAATGGAATAAACAAGACACAGCCAATTAGAGCCACAGAGTCAACTGATGACCAGGCAAGGTAGCATTTCAAACTATCAAAGTTGATCTTTGAATGCATTAGTAAGTAGAAAACTTTCACATGAATTTTTTTTCAACCAGGAAAGAAAGGGAGCAAGTAGAGAACCAAGAAATTAAAGTTGTGTGGTGGCCTACGTTTTCTTATACATATACATATACATGTATTAACAAACTATTTGTAATCAGTAACTTTGTGGGTTGAAAGTGAGTATAACATTGATGTGTTCATATATACATGTATATGCTATACATTACTTCATGATAATACTTTTGCCTGTTTAAGTTTCACACATGAAAAAAGTTTCACACATGAAAAAAATATTTCCTGCATTTACCAGCTGTACCTACATTTGAACATAGTATATTAACTTAAACATAAATCACTCATTCATGAGTCATTGACAATCTATTTGAGTACATTGGCTATGAAGTCCAAATTTGCAGATATCCAAAAATGTTACAATTGTTTTTTGCAGTTTGACATACATGTATCCTGGGATATATAATAACTACAAAATATTCCTGGCATATAAGGTGCTATGGGCTGTGTAAACTTAAGTTTCATTTTTAGTGCATCACAAAGAAAGTACAGAGCTGTACCTCTGTCATATGCCATGGAATAAATTCAGCCTAATAACTTCCAGTTAAATTCCAGTTAATGGTTGTACGGATTAAACTTCAGTCTCCAAATGCCCATGTTTCTTTAGTTCACGAAGCCAGTATTCAATATCTCCAGAAGAGTCTAGGCAGACATTCATCAAGTGCTCCCAATTTTCTGCTGGAGCAGACACACTTGGAGGAGGAAGATTTTGTTTTACCACACCTGCTTTGAGCAGATCTAATGTTATGCTAGTATAAGTAGATGGAAGACTGATAGACTTATGATTCCACATTTCCCACATTATCAAGCCTAAGCTGTACATGTCTGCTGCTTGGTCATACACTGCACCTTGTAGCACCTTGGGGGACAGGTACATGTACTCCTTTGGCAGGTCATCAGCATCCTCTGGTTCCATCAAACACCTTGGTGTGCAGGCATTTGTCAGCTTGATTTTCCCATCAGCTGCTTCCTGTGAATCACATAAGACAAGGGAGTCACCTCCACATTGAAATTTGATAGATAAATACTCAAACTTTATGGAAATTCCGTTGGTTTAATGTTGGTTAACAAATTCATGTAAAAGCTGCCTAGCATGCTAACACTTTTACACCTTCTCCTAATTGTTATGCTTATCAGTTGTCTGAAATACTGATACAATGTAGATTAGGTAATACAAACAGTCCTACCAAGGTTTTGGAATTACAAAAACAATAAACTTTCTTCCACTTACCACTACTGTGTCCAGAGACAGGATGAGGTGGACTAATGCCTTCTTGTGTAGGTACTTAAGACCCTCACCTATGTCTATCAGATAACCCTGTACCACTGGTTTGGGAAGGTGGGCTTTGCAGCTGGTAAATCTCATTCTAATTGATTGACGCATGTCTTCTAGGATGAGCATGGGGATTCCATTTTGTTTGGCTCTTGCAGTGCCCATCAACTGAATGATGTTACGTTGCCGTAGCCCTCTGTAAATATCAAGAATTGGATCACTATTATGAGCTTTGTTATCTTTCAACTATATTTTTATAATGTCAATGAATGGCATTTTAAGGAACCTCAGTCTACAGCAAGGTGAAAATCAAATCAAATATAAACAGATAAACACAAAAACTAATTGATGATAATAACTAACCTGAGGCACTTCTCCTCTGAGACCATGTAATTTGCATTCTGTTCTGATGTTCCAATGTAGCTCTTTACTGTGACTTTGTCATTGGCCTTTCTTGTGTTCAGCTTGGCCTTGTAGATGTTGCTGAAAGATGAACTGACAATAGGTTGCTCTTCTACTGAGATCTGTGCAGCATCATAGTCAAATGTTCTCACATGCTGTGCACCAAACATGCAGAGATCTTCATAGATGTGACTGATTGTGGCCTTGAACTGACCTAGGGCCCTCTGGACTTCATCACTTGTCCTGTCATCTTGTCGTAGTTGGAGAACCATCTGCCTGTTGGATTCAATGATGTCATCAATCGTTCCCTCATAGCTCTCTATGACGCGCTTTGCCTGTTTCATCTGTGTTGTCACAAATTTCCTCACCTGGTTGCTGTCTTTGAATTTCTCAAAGACCTTCTTACTCCCACTTTGTAGGTGTGCTAACTGACTTCTTGGATCTTTTTGATCTGTATGCTTGCGTTGTACCTTGACGTTTTCCTTCATGCTGATAATGTCTACAAACCTTAGAGCAGGTGCCTGAAGGAGAGCTCTTAAGAACCCCAGGGGAACCCAAAATGAAGACATCATTCCAATTGCCTTCTGTGCAATGAACATACCAACATTTCTTTGTCTCATCACTTCAGCAGCCATTGCACCGTTATCATTCGACTGTTTGTCAAAGACTTCTGTGTTTTCATCAGGCCAGTCGTAGTCATGATATTGATCAGCACTTTCTATGACCTTCTCCAGCTTAACAAGAGCTTGATGAAACAAGCCCTCCAACACTGACTTTGTGTCTCTGAAAAAACCGGTCTCCTCTTCCCAGTCCATGATGAGATTTTGCACACGGAGAAGAACCTCATGTTGAGCCATTCTGTCCAGTTCGTAAAGGCTTGCTCCCATAGGAACATCAGCCAATGACCAGGAAGTTGCCTTTTCTTTGATCTTTGGATCCTCAAGAAGCTTTCTTACTTCTTGTATGCCCTGCTCTGTTCTTTTTTCAACTTTGTTTTTCATGGCCAGAATGATTTTTGATCCAGCTGATTTTGCAAGACTTAGCCTCTTTTCTCTCTCAAGCAACTGCTTTTCCTTATATTGCCCATCAGCTACATTTACTTCAAGAGCTCTTGCCTTGTAAAGGATACTGCTCAAGAACTGTTCAAGCCAACTGTGTAAAAAAGACAATGAAATAATTTATTTATCTCTGTGTGTGAAACTTTAGAGAGATCTTTAGGTAACAAAGTCAGAAACTTTGCCCAAAAAGTTAGCAGTAATAATTCATATGATTGGAAGGTACAAAATTGACAATTTGAAAACATTTTGAATTGGTCAGCAGTATAAACAGCACACTAAACAGAAGTAAAGTGTGTACTGTTCTGATAGAGAGATTCTGGAAGAAATTTTTGTTTTATTTTTGTCACTGATCAGTCACTACAAAGCAATTACTTTACTAAGAGAGACTAACCAGTAGTGCACTTGCAGCTTTCTCTGCAGTGTTGCGGGAATGAACTGCTCGATGCCTCCAAGCAGCAGACAGAAGTCGTCCATCATGACGTCGTGATGTAGGGCCTTTGCAGCAGTCAAGGTGCTCAACTGGAAGACCTGATCCTCTGTGCAACCTGGCCAGTAACGTTTCAGGACACGTAGCTGCTCTCTTTGAACTGCTTCCTTTTCTTGTGGTGGCACCTGGTCCCACTTATTGCAGACGAAAATGGCAGCACTTGGGGAGAATGCTCGAATAGCACCACCTTTCTGGTCTTTTGCATTTAGGTGCTGTTGGTTTTTAGAGGTAACCACAGCCATCAGCTTGCCAAGCTGAAAGTTGAAATGAAGAAAAAAAGCAACTGTTAATTTGGGTTAGGTGTAAATTGTTGAATTTGCAGTTGGGAGGATCAGGTGTAGAATGTTGAATTTGTAACACTAATATCCTAATAAAAAATAATTAGTGGAATAAAACAAATCAAGTCATCATTGTGATGATAGTCATCATTGTGATGATGAAGTCTTTTCTAGAGATATGGCAATGCAGTAGGGGCATATACCACTTGCATCATAGATTGAAATACAACTAGAATTCCGAGATCTCATACCTCCATGAAATATGATCTTGATATGTAAATGTAAATTTCTTCTTTAATTGTGCAAATGACCTCTGCATTAACATGATATATGCATCGTGATGTATGTTAACTTTTGATTAACTTACAGATGTCCCAAGTATGACATTATCATCATTCACCATTACGAAATCATAGAATTTTCGCATTAATTATGCAAATTAGGTCATCATTTGCATAATTAGTATCTGTTGAAGTTCCGCCTGCCATAGGTTACATACATTACTTGTATGTAAGTAGTATAATGTAAAACACTGTAATTATAGAATTTCCTCATTAATTATGCATTTAATTATGTACATCTCTCTCTCAGTTACGTACACACCAAAAATAATGAAAATATGTTGTTCCTGTCTGGACTTATTGGCTTTTAAACATTTCGCCAGAAAGTGCCCTGCAGTTTCAGAACAAGCCGCTAGGGGGCCTAAACTCATATGACTTCTTCCCAAGCACGAGAGCTACCTTCCATCAAAATTTCATGACCCTAGCATGTCCAGATCGCGAGATATCAAAACCGGAAGTTGCACTGCAGTACCAAGGGAAGCCACTAGGGGGACCAAAATCTAATCATTTCTAGTTTTCGTCACACCCTACCAACACACCAAGTATGAAACCAATCCATCCAGGCGTTCTTGAGTTATCTTGTTGACCAACAGACAGACGGACAGATAAACGCAACTGAAACTAGAGTTCGATGATCGCATACCTCCATGACATGTGTATTGTTTTTATAAATCTTACGCATGGTGATGACCACCTGTAATTGGCTTACATTTTTCACCGCATATATTCAAATCATATGAGGCCATTTGCATATATTGTATCAATTGATCATACTCTCCATCAAATGACAGGGTTATCTTAAGAAATAAGGCTATTCTAGCGTTTCCTCATAAATTATGCAAATAAGGTCCTGATTGACATAAATTATGTTTAGTGATGTTCACCTTCACTGAACTTCCAATTATGGCAAGTATTAAATTCCCAGCAGTTATCACCATAAAATTGTACCAATTTGCCATTTATTATGCAAATTAGGTCTTCCTTTACATAATCGATATCTGCCAATGATCTTGTCGTTCTCACTAGCATATGTCTATAGAGTTTTATAGCCCTAATATGAAATACAGCTGATTTATAGAATTTCCTCATTAATTATGCAAATTAGATCCTGATTTGCATAATTATATTTTGATTATGTCAAGCATCACTTAAGCTACCTACATACCAAAAATCATGATGATCCATCAAACGGTTGTTCAGTTATCCTCTCTCGAAGATTTTCAAAGAAACTACCCTGCAGTTCCAGAACAAGCCGCTAGGGAGACCAAACTCACGTGACTTCTTCCCGAGGACAAGAGCTACCTTCCATCCAAATTTCATGACCCTAGCATGTCCAGATCGCGAGATATCAAAACCGGAAGTTGCGCTGCAGTACCAAGGGAAGCCACTAGGGGGACCAAAATCTAATCATTTCCAGTTTTCTTCACACCCTACCAACACACCAAGTATGAAACCAATCCATCCAGGCGTTCTTGAGTTATCTTGTTGACCAACAGACGGACGGACGGACAGATAAACGCAACTGAAAATACTAGAGTTCCCCGATCTCATACCTTCGCCAAATGATGTTAATCTTTATGACTGACAAAGTTTAGATTAGATTATTCCCCCCTGATTTAAGAAATAGGAACCTAATTTTCATGAATTATATTGTTTTATCATAATCTCAACCAAAAGACAAAAAAGTCTTATATTAACAAAGAATGCATTCTAGCATTTCCTAATAAATTATGCAAATGAGGTCCTGATTTCAATAAATTATGTTTAATGATGTTCACCTCAATTTAACTTTCAAATACCACAAGTATGAAATTCCAGGCAGTTATCATTACATAATTATAAAAATTGTCTCATTAATTATGCAAATTAAGTCTTTTTAACATAATCAATATCTTCCTGTGTTTCTCTCGTTGTCAATTACCAATGTCACAAGCTTCAATTGTCCTATCATGGAATGCAGCTGATTTATAGAATTCCCCCATAAATTATGCAAATTACATCCATATTTGCATAATTGTCACATAATTATATTAAGCATCACGTAAGCTACCTACATACCAAAAATCACGACGATCCGTCAACCGGTTCTTGAGTTATCCCCTTTTGAATATTTTCAAGAATTTATCCCTGCAGTTCCAGAGCAAGCCGCTAGGGGGCCTAAACTCACGTCACTTCTTTCCCAGCACAAGAGCTACCTACCATCTAAATTTCAATACCATAGCATGTCTAGATCATGAGATATCAAAACCGGAAGTTCAGCTGCAGTACCATAATAAGCCGCTAGGGGGTCCAAAATCTAATCATTTTGAGGTCTCATCAAGACCTACCCACCTACCGAGTATCAAGACAATCCATCAAGGCCTTCTCAAGTTATCGTGTTTACAGACAGACACACACACACACAAACACACACATACACGAACGCCCCTGAAAACATAACCTTCTTGGCGAAGGTAATAACCTCCATGACACATTTCATGGAGGTAAATATAACCTCCATGACACATTTCATGGAGGTAAATATAACCTCCATGACACATTTCATGGAGGTAATTACCGGTACAGAAAAGATGGTCAGTGGTTAAGGATGTAAATACACACACACAACAGTTATAAGAAATGCTCATAATATTTTTGAATAATGTGATGTCATTTACCCTGTCTTTCTGAATTCCCCCAGCATTTGAACTGTTGATGACGTAAATGAAGGCAAAGGCCTCTTGTAAGTAGTCATATACCACCTCATCCATCTTCTCACTTTCCCCAACTCCTGGACTGTCCACAATGGTGATGCCATCCTGTTGATTTGAGTTAGTGATGTCATTGCCAATTTGCAGCTTTAGTGAGTACCGTATATTTGCAGTACTATTATATTCACTTTTTTGCAGTTACTTCTGTGCCGCTAATTTATAATTATTGCAAACAAATAATTTGCCAACTTTCTTTCTTCTGCATCTGCCTCCACTGCAAAAATATAGTTCCATGAACATGTCCATTTTTCTCAGACCGCAAATTTTGCTAATGCGAATTAGCGAATATAATAAAAGTGATTTACATCACTAACAAAAGAAAAGGACCATGACTGATGCTGGCATAGACAAACCTTCCAAAATTGGTTTCATCACCCAACTAAAACAGAGTCAAACTCTAGCTGTGTACCTGTACCTTCAAATGTGCTTAGGGACAATGGAGGAGCCCATTAGTAGTAATAAAGGATTCTAAGGAGGCAGTTATATGTAGAGTTTGCACTATGAAGAGTACAGTAAAACACAACAGTTGCACATATCTTAAGCATTTGAGGCCTTCAAGTATCTTACCTTCAAAAAATCGACAGGCAGGTATATTTCTGCTTTTTTGTATGGGAAGTCTTCCTCATCCCTTTTTCCTTTTTGATGCACATACTCTGAAAGCTTTTGAAGGGAGGATTTGTCATCATCCGCATCACTAAGGGGAACTTCTATCATCTCCCCTTCCCACGTAAAGACTTTTACTTTACGCTTTTGCCCATAACGGATCTCACAGATGACTGACGTTGTGCTGAGTGTGGATGTTGGCAGAAGCTCCTCCCCTAAGATGAGGTTCAGCAGACTGCTCTTTCCTGAGGATGTTTCGCCTGTAATAATTTACATTCACACAATTTTGATAATGTCCTGAAAGACAAACTTGTTTGTATTTTCTGCTCCTATATCTACCAACCCAGTGAGCACTCATTGTGCCCAGATAAACACATCAAGGAGACATTACTTATAATTACAATTCATGTAAAACATCTCCAAACAGATGAATTTGGGGGCAGGGGATGATGAAACTGGCCACCTGAGTCCCCCCCCCCTTGCATGGCATATTGGATACTACCAATTTTATAATGAATTGCAGCCACCAAAAGATCTTCTTGAAGATTTGTCAGAGTGCCCTTGAATCATTGCCTAACTGCTCCCACAGCCTTGTGCCTGTGACCATGGAGGTAGACTCCATGCTGTGACAATACTGTTCTTAAATCAGTTGCCTAACTGCTCCCACAGCCTCATGCCTGTGAGGATAGTGCCCTTGAATCAGTTGCCTAACTGCTCCCATAGCCTTGTGCCTGTGAGGATAGTGCCCTTGAATCAGTTGCCTAACTGCTCCCATAGCCTTGTGCCTGTGACAATACTATTCTTGAATCAGTTGCCTAACTGCTCCCCCAGCCTTGTGCCTGTGAGGATAGTGCCCTTGAATCAGTTGCCTAACTCATGAATTGGTGCCTAACTGATCCCAAAGCTTTGTGTCTATACCCAATATTAACTCAGTACCTCCCTGTATTGTATAAGGATAATGATTTTCTTGAATTAGGAGGCTGGCATACAACATGTAATTCAGTTCCTTAAATGCAAACTGGAAGTTGCTGCGAAAACATTTATTCATGATATGAGGTACACCAATCTAATTTCTTGGTTCTCGGATTCGCCTCTTCATTTTTTTTACTGATTTGAAAAAAAAATTCTTGTTCTGAATCTACTCAAAAATGCTCATATTTTGCCCCTAACAGTTGAGGAAAGGTTTTTTTTCTTCCTAGTTGTTACATCTATCAATGCAGTGATTCAAAATTCATTGCTTGAATATTAACCCAGCCTTTTGTGTTGACTTCATGGTTCATATTGTAGCATTTGTAGCTATAATAGGATGCCTAGACCTGTCTCTATTATTATTTTTTTGCCCTGTCGCTTCATATTTTTTCTGAAAATATCAGAGAACCAACAAATTAAATTGGTGTGGCCTAAAGGAGTTACTGTTTTTTCTCTTGCCCTTAATTCCTGGAAAATTAGCAGATATGAAGAAGTGCCATTGATGCCAAGACGAAACTATACCTGCTACCAGGATAGGGCACTTTGAATCTTGAAGCATCTCCATGGCTTCCTCAATCATTTGTCGAAATTGTGAAGTTGCATTGTCCCGTTCTAGTTGACTCAGAATGGATTGATCTACATCTGGCAGGTGACTCTTTGTATCTTGGTAGAACTTTTGGAGTATCTTTTTGTTCTTTTCATAGTCGTCTTTCAACCTCCCAACAATTTCTCTTGCCTGTTGAGAATAAAATTTAAAAAATATTCATTTTGATGTCATCTTGAACTTAAAAAGTTACTGGCCATATACATGGACGTGTCATTTCACAATGCCTGTGATGCTGAATAATGTGTTCTGCCAAAGTGTGTTTATAGCAGTGCTACACAATTATTTACAGAATGATATAGAATCTGATACTTTTTTTTTAAAAACTGCAGTTTAGTTGCACCCACAGCCCTACTAGTTAGTAAGTCTTTTATTAAGTCCAAGGTGCCATTTCTCAAATATGACATACTAACAACTTCGATAAGACATCGTCACTTGAGTGAATTATAAATCATGGCACAGCACATACATGTAGCATTATCCTATTGTTAGATGTGATGAGATGATTCCCTGTCAGCAATACTCACATTTTTTGTTGATTTCCCTGGGTTCTTAATAGACTGTAGATGGCGCTTCAGTACCAGCTTTGCTGTGAAGAGATCCTTCACATCATCCATGGGGATCTTGTACTTTTCCAGTAAGGGATATGCCATCCCAAAGTCTTTTAAGTTGTCAATGATTTCTTCTGTCAATTCCTCGCTAGCTGCCATGCTACAAAGTACATTTACAACCATACAATTATACATTTCTTTCAGTAGTACATTTCTTTTATTCTATTTAACAGCTCAATTGTTCCATAAACAATCATTCTGGTACATTTGTAATTGTTAATAATATAATAAATAATTACTGATTTTAGTGATTTCTAAGTCTTCTGCCATGTGACAGCAGCGTCACGCGGACCCAGCTAGAATTGAAGTTTGTAATGTTAATCATTGCCAACAGAAAGTGCTCCGATAAGTGAAATTCAATGTATTCAACTTATCAGAGCAAACATTCAAATTGATATCCATTACTTTGTTCCTTATCTGTACAAACAACCTGACTGAAAAACAACATGTCAATCCTCTTGCATCATTCAACTTGAGTCAGCAAAAGCCTTGGGCATTGTGCCTTCACAGGACGAGAGCCCTCTGACCTACAAAACTATTGACTTCTCAACATTCTGTTAACTTTACTGTATTTCATAATTTATATACAGCTAGCTGAAATTTAAAACAGACTGACAGATACTTTATCTAACATTTGACATGAAATCAGAGACACATCAAACTGAACCATACATTAGATGTAGCAACAAGTTACATGTTTTAATTTATAACAATCAAAGTAAAAACTAGAAATGCCACATTAAAAACAAGTAAAAACTGCAAATGAAGCATTTTGCACTCCATTTCCCTCCCAATGCAAAAAAAAATGAGCTGTTCCATATCACCTCAGAAATGGACCGACCATCCCAAATTTATTTCTATCCACTATACCACTCCAAACTGGAATTTTCTGAATTTGAACTCCATACGGACTCTTGCATAGACACCCCCATGGAAAATTTTTCAAAGTTACTCCTCCCCCATCTCTAGTGCAAAAGCTACCCCCATACGAAATTCCAGGACATTTGACTTCCATTAAACACTGCAAGAACCTAACACATTTTTGGTCTGAAAATAGGAAAAAAACTCAAAATATATTATCATAAATTGGTGTGTACCAGAAGTGTTAATGAGGTCCTGTGGGCATGTGCCCTACATGTCCTAGGTTTCCACATGCCAAATTTTATGTCATCAGTTTTTTTGATACGAGGGCATGGGAGCCAAAATTTACATTTTTGGTCCTAAAATAGCCCCAAATCCCCAAATTGATCATTTGTGTATGCCAAAAATGTTAGAAAAACCCTTTGGGCATGTATTCCAGGCACTCTCATGCCAAATTTCAACATCGTTTGGCCATTTGGTTATAATACCAGAAACATCAGGGAAGGAGAAGAAACATCAGGAAAAACAAATTTGAATATAATTCACTCCCATACTTGTGGTATGGAGTGAAATATAATAAATGTTCATTGGAAACAGCATACATCAAAGAAAAAGAAAGAAAGAAGAACACCTTTCTGAATACTGTCTGTAAAATCTTTATACACAATACACCTTGTGCACTACAGTCTTGTCTGAAGTCCGCCGACTACATTATGTGCATGATATAATGTTTTATTTGAAAATCAATAGATGAATATTGTTTTTTATTATATCTTTTGCATAGATGCATTGTGGCATCTCAATTGCCCAGCTAAACACTAAGTTAAGAACATTTGCCCATGTTTGCTGGATGGTATCAGTCCATCAATCCAAATAAAATACTATACCACTATAACTTACAAGTATGAAGTTATCACCGCTGATTTTCCGTATAGATAAGAACTGAAATTATTTTCTACTATTAAAACGGCTACCACCACCACTACTACTACTACTACTACTACTATACGCGGCGTCATCACACACAGCCCAACGAGTCTGCGAGCTCTAAATTATTGCCATTTTCGGCAGAAATGCAGCTGGGGCCCCCTCGATCTCTGCGCGATCTTAGAGATCGGTGGACGTTCCCAGATCTCCAAGCTCCGTCCAATGTAATAGGGCAAAGTTTTCAGGCGAAAAATTTGCTCGACTCATCTGACGATTTTAAAATTCGGTGACCAATTTGGTCGAATATCGGCGACAATGTGACACCACCTTGCTACGGACTGGCGGCATGGCTTGCTTGGACGGTCAAGCCAACACTGAAGGTAGGTGGGTTTTGCTAGGGTGAGGGTCGGTCGGGAACGGTGCCGGGACCCTCCTGGACCGACCCTATCGTCTACCGAGACGGAAGGAGGCCGATGGTGTCGGGAAATATTTTTTTCCTTTAATAGCCTAAGGAGGCTTTTACATGTATATATTGGTGCATTTGATTTACTGTTTTCATGCTAGTACATATATTGATTAAGATGATACGTAAATCGGAACAAAGAAAATTCAACAATATGCATGTGCAGATAATACAGAAGAGAGCGATTAAAAGTTTAAAATTTGCACAGTTATTTGGAGGAAGAACAGTGTTTTATGATATCCACGCTTCACGGTGGTCCGCTGCGTACTATCTCACCATTTTTTCTCTTCAAGCAGACGTCGGGTGCTGGCAATGCTCTTAAACTCTAACAATCATTATAATCAAAAGACACAATGGTCGAGCTATTATGGCCGTGGAAACTCCTAATCGTATAAGATTTTTCCGTCCTTCATTCGAGTATTACGTGAGATCATGATCAATCAAGCAGTAGTACAGTACGTAGGCCGACTAGTGGTGTTACATAGCTCAGTCGGGGTTATACCGCCCCTTACGGTGACACACCCTTATGAAGGCGATACAAGACAGGGTCTCCGTCAGGGGGATGATGTGAATGAACCCTCGGTCAGACTATTACGAGACGAGGGTTCACCGGGCCTCCATCCGGGTGAATTGTAGTGTATCACCATCTTCCAGAAGAAAGTATTTGGACCAACGCACACAAGGGCACGCCCCTACTCTTTTGGAAAGGTGTACGTGGTGGGTTGTTAACGTGCGTAGGGTGTGGCTCTCTTCACCAACCTTCCAAATAACTATCTTGTAACTCTAGCCTCCTTTTTTCGAACTGTTGACTAATATGAGGTTTTTAAAGTACCAAACCGCCAGCGCTCAGGTAATCGTAATAGCAAGGACGTTCTACAGACACCTGGGGACAACCAGACTAACATCGCGGGTACAAAAACTAAGATAGGGGAATAATTGACCAGGGGAGTTTGGCCAACGTATAGAGTTCATTTGTCATTCGGAGGGACTGACTCTCCAGGCCAATTATCGATTGAATTTTTTTGCCGAATTCTGCGATCCATATCCCCCGTAAGAATTTGAAGGCCTGGTGAAGGCTACGACGACACTGCATTCTGCAGTGACGACGGTTTGCCATGTCATGCTGTCCTCGTGATTATTATGTACAATTGGTACAGTAAGGAAACGGTGACAGTGGCAATATTTCCTCGTTCTCTCTGAACCAGTAACCATACTGAAAAAGGCAAGTAAAAAATAATGTCACTGAAATTCTTTTTCTTCAAGTTGGAGCCTGCTTATCTTTTATTTTCCCGCACACAACATGAGATTAATGAAGACATTGTTCATGCACGTTCTCTCCAATTATTAAGCAAAACAGTCAAGACCAAAGCCATAAAAGTTTCTCTCACCTGGACTTCTGGGGGAGGGTCATGCACTTATTTGCCTCAATATTTCAAAGGGCATCAGCAACGGGCTTATCCAGATACAAAATCATTTTTGCATTAATTCTTCTGGAATTATTCTGGAATTATTCGTAGCTCCATAAAAATTCAATTCTGTCTTAATTTGAATTTGGAAAAAAGTGCCCATACAAATAGGTAAAAACTCACCTATTTGATGAACATTTCTAACGCTATTAACGTGACCTGTAGAAAGATCTTTCATGCCACCGCAGACTCATCAGATGTTTTGAGTTTGTAAGTCATTAGTTTGTAGGTACGGTTGTACCATTTTACGTTTCCCTCGCGATGCATTCAGACATTCAAGCAGGGCAATCTAACAACAGGGTTTTGAGACGAGTCGCAGCGAATTATCGCGTAACGTCAGCTTTCATGACTTTAGGTGACAAGGAATGGAAACCGTTTTCGGCGCAATATTCAGCAACGAACTAACTATATTTATTGTTCGTTATGACATCGTTTCGAATTGTTTGCTTTTCTAAAACAACTCCTCGTTCCAGCCCTGATCTTTGTTTTTGTATTACCCTCCCGATCTGCGCGTCAGCCACATCCAGCTAAATTTCCTGCTTTAACTGAAATAGACACATCATCTCGTAAGAGATTAACTTTCATATATAATACAAAGGTTTTAGCCTAGTAACAAAAAGTCAGGAGCATTTCACACTACTGATGAGTAAGCTGCGAAAATAAACCTACCTTCACTGCTTGTAGACTTTGAGCTTTGAGTAATCTTTTAGTGCGATGCAGCCCAGGGACTTCGTAGTCTTTTCGGCACTTAAACTACACTAATGAGGGCATATCTCACACACTTGCCACGCCAAGCATGCTCGATTTGTTTTTTTCCACCTTTCGAGGAAAAGCATGCTTCACATCTGAGGTGAGTCGATGCCAAACAACATTTGAACTATTACATCAGCTTTGCACTGAGCGCATGAAATAAACACCCTACTTAAGAGTCAGCATTTTGCAGATCCGAAGTCCATGGACGGAACTCTTTGAAGTCCCAAAATAATCGTTCTTTGTCCTCGATTGGGTGTACAAAAGTGGGAGTAAGTTGACATTGCTGGTCCGGTGGCGTCTGTTGATAAGAGAACAAACAACGCGGGGAGTGGCAATGTAGAAGGCAGTGTGCTTCAACTATTCGACGCCCCGAAAGAGTATCTGTGTTCACAATATAGTGTTTTTCGCCGTTTCAATCGCAGCTATGTTAATCTTATTATTCTGACCAACGAAGGTATAACGCGTGGTACGTAAAGCATCATCTCACCGGAGACACTCTCAAGACCAAAACGCACAAAAATGGCACGTGCTCCGCTGACCAAGGAGGAAATCGAGAAGCTTAACAACATTGCTGATGTCTTCAAACTCCTTACTATTCACGGTATCCCCTTTGAGGGTGTTACTGATGTGAAAGGAGCGCAACGATTGCTGATGGCAAAGTACTACCAGCAGTCAGGAGCAACTATGAGAAAGCCTGGAGACGTAAGTAAAGTAAAATTGGATTCGTATATCTGATGGGAAAGACCGCAAAATAGCATTTATGTTGTTGCAGAAAGTATAATTGAAGTACATGTATTCACACATAACGTCAGTGCAATAAAAACGCCGTTTACGATGAATGAGGATGAATATCAGCAAGCGTCAATGTAACACTTGGAATTGTTGGTATCCTGTAAAGGTGCGAGTACCAGGTATCAATATCTGGGCAGTACACTATGGCTTATGCTTATATCTTGCCCTGCGTATCTACATGTATAAGTGTAGGAACCATATTCTTCAATATAATCAATATGAAGATGTTGTACTCAGTACAATGTTAAACCATGTTTTGCAGGTATGTCCCCGTTATTTCTTTTTATGGCCGGGTGGACAGATGTTTGTTATATAAACGAATCAATAGAGTGAAATGCTTGATTTGTTAACGGAAAGCAAATGATGCCCCACATTTATGTATCTTTAATAATTGTGATATGGACATGGGCCTCGGCTGGCAACCATATCAGTATAGTAAAACTGATCCTTTTTATGCCAATTTGATTCTCTAAAACTCTTCGATGCATGTGAAGACATCTGAACCTGTTTGTGAAAATGTTCAAGTTCTTAAACCCCAATATCTTGCATATTTTCGCATCTCTTCACGGGGAAGTATACCTTATCAGAGCCTTATCGCTCCCGTTCGGCGTAGGAAAAGTGGCTAAATATAAGACGACCGTCAAATTCATTGCCATGTCTCTGATCTTTTCGGGAATGGGAAAATGGAGAAAATTTGTTTGAGACATTTCACAGTTTAACAAAGCGGTAGAGCTCAGACTGAGAGACTGATAGATGAAGCGCTAGCTAGTAGTGGCTGTGCAATGCACCAACCTATATGCAATGCGGTTTCCCATGCATGGGTCGCATATTTGGCCAAACGCACTGGGTTACGCGAAAAGTGTGATGGGTTTCATTGCATGGGTGACATAAGTTCCCTCATGCACGGGGCCGCCGGCTAGCCTCCATAGCATGCCAAAAGCTGGGTGGTTTGGGGGGGTCTTCATGGTCTTTGTGAGCTTTTATGTGCTATATTTCTGATTGCATATAGATAACATAGCCGGCTTGGTTGAATAACCCCCTTTTTGTTAGAACTGGGCTAATCAGAAAACAGCCAAAGACCACCAAACGGAGGCTAGCCGCCGGCTTTACGTCCCCATTCGACAGGACGATGCGACTCTTTCCCAGTCGTGTCCAGACTCAGGCACGAACCCGGATCGCTGGCTCCAGCTCTACGGAATTTGAAGCAAATCTGGCGAGTGGCAGAATGTGCAGATCACAACACTACGTGGACACTTGTTAGACCATAAATGACACGTGTCCCTCGCATTTTACCAATAGAGGTGGTCGATTGTACACCTGTCGACTGTAAATTGTCAGGTGTATCTAAAGTCTTAAAAAGGTTTTTAGTATTGTTATACGTGCACGTTTTAGCCCTTTTCTTCCATGCCATCGGTGCACCTATCCGTATACTGCAGATTAGGTTATGATAGGATATGTAGTCCCGACTTCAATACCACCATGCCTTTCCTTGCCGACCTACTGAATGGCTGGCCTCGTCCGCTCTTCTGAATATATTTGTGGTAACTATTTGTATATAACATATCTTTATATCTTTTAGCTGTTGTGTGATTTTTATTATTGAAAATAAACCAGTCTTTCATTGATCAAAAGTCAGACAGTAAATCGTGAAAATACACAAGACTGTAGGTTTTAAACCAGTGCAAACTCTCCCAAATAGGTCCTGGCATCTATGACATTAAGACAAGACACTAGTTGACATAAAAAGAATTGATCCGTAGGCGCCACGCAAGGATCCTATCATATATTTTACGTAATGAGCAGGTTAAGGATATACATGGACATGATCCAGTTTCCCATAACTATTTTACTGTTTATCTGACTGTCAGAGAAGTCCGGTCGTCACTCAGAAAAAATGTTACAATCTTTCATCCCAACATCTGTTTGGGGGCTTTGTCGGATTTTCTAGCCTCCTGTGCAGGCCTCCGGGTGGGTGAGAGTTTTGATACTGCGCTTTGTAGAATTTCAACGCGTTATTTTGCCGGCCATCCTACAACCAGTCGCCCAGAGAAGGTTTGTACGTATACCCGCCAAGTTGTACGGTCAATGCCCACGGGGGCGTGACAACGCCGTCACGGCTGGCGGGCCGAGCACTCCACGGGGCGCGGAAACTTCGCAAGTCTATACCAATTTGGAGCCTGCAATTTGTCTAAAGGGATTTTTAATTACGTTTTCTTCGTGCCGAACGCAAACAGGCTCAGTGCTGAGTACAAACCTTCTCTGGGCCGGATGGTCGGCAAAAGAACACGGCAGCCTGTTTGGTACTTACCGGTAAGTATCTTTATGTTCTCAGGGGGCAGTGGTGATGGCAGGGGCCCTGGATGTTGACAAGAAAAGGAGGAAGGAACTTCTCAGCTTGTTGTCAAGCATTCAAGGGTTTCTAAGATCTTTGGAGCCTGATGTTATACAACAGCTGGACTTCCGATGTGGCCATGGGGGCAGTGTGAGGGCTGTTCTTGGTTACTGTGAACATAAACTGAGAAAGGATGATTGCCCCATTCTTGTAGCAGGTAAATGTAGGAAAGATTGTACACTTGAACTACATGTATGGCCATTGCATTGCATTGAAACAATCCTTGCTGTAACCATCTCCAATCATTCAAGTTAATTGTTACCTGCCCTTCTAAGAGTTGGCCAACCGGGTGTTCAGGGAATGGTGGGCACGTTGAGAGTATATCTGATCTGAAAAAAGACAACTGGCAGCTGCAATTTTCTTGTCACAACAGCAAAATTTTATGGTATTACAAAACGCTATTAATGGGGTTGTTGTGTGAACTACATCGACTACATTTCATTCTACGTTGGTGAACGATTTCTAAACGGTCCGAAAGTAACTAAAATTCATTCTCAATCTGAAATCTTTAGGTACCTTCATATGTTGGAAAAAGCTATTGGAGAAAGGTAAAATGTAGGCCCTTTGCTGAGTGAATAGCGACGTCTCTGTTTGATACTTATGCTAATTGACTGAAGTTTCTACCCTTACACATATTTCAGGGGAGACATCTGCAGGTAAAAGCACACTGTTGAACGTCCTTCTTGGAGAACCTCTCCTACCAACCTCCGTCCTCAGCACAACATCCATCATCTGCGAACTCAAGCACGGTCGGCCTCAAAGGGCTGTTTTCCACAGGAAGGGACATGGACCTGCAACCCGTTCAAGACAAGAAACAGTGTTATTGGATGGGTCAACTGAAGAAAACATGAAGAAGCTGTCAGATAAGGTTCACCTCAAAGGAGAGGAAAGAGAGACTGCCCCTGACTATGAAAAAGTTGAGATCTACTGGCCGCTTGCGCTCCTTGAGGTATGTTAATTTTCAGCTTGCACAGCATCTGTGATTTAGGTAAAGCAGCTCTCTACTACTACTACTACTACTACTACTACTGCTACTGCTACTGCTACTGCTACTGCTACTGCTACTGCTACTACTACTACTACTACAGAAGCAAGTTTTATGATTCATCAGAGAATAAAATCTTATGCTTGAATCCAGTTTGAACATTAAATGATTGAAGTCATGTGAAGTCATGAGCACAGGGTGACTTATATTTTTAGTTATATGGGTGTAGTAGCTTGACACTTGGTGGTAATATTGTTATAACAGTATTGCATATTTCATAAATTTCACGAGACCAAAACATGTTTGTCATCTGTGTCTGCATCAGTACACAATGATTAATATTAGTGCACACATGATTTATATCTCATTCTACTAGTATATGGCATATTATTGTTGTACTATGTTACTGTACCCCTGTTAAGTGAAGTTTTCCAAGTAATGTGTACAATACCTTGCAGGGTGGTATATTCATCGTAGACAGTCCTGGGGTTGGAGAAAGCAAGCTGATGGACGGCCTGGTGAGCCAATACATAGGACAGGCCTGTGCCTTCATCTACGTCCTCAACAGCTCCAATGCCGGTGGTGTTCAACCAGGGAAGGTGTGCAATTTACATAGAATCTACATGAGACTAGTCATCTTTTGTTTGTTTATTTTGGTGGATTCAACATCTAAACTATATAGCCATTAATGCTACACCACTGTCATCACTTCTACCAGTACATGTAAGTCCCCTTGATGCCTTCAACCACCAAGGACATAGAGAGGCTAGAGTACCCTAGCTGTGATGCATATAAGATTTTCTTTCTTTCTTTCAGCTCCAATCTTTGTTGGCGAACTGTCGTGAGAAACATCCTGAAGACATGCAGCTCTTTGATCCAAAGACCGCAGTGTTTGTCTGTAACAAATGGGATCAAGTACCTGACAAGGAGAGGGAACAGGTCAGGGCAGAAATCATCCGACAGCTGGAAAAACACTGGAGCAGGAACTACAAGCTGGATCCAAAGTCACAGGTGTTTTGCCTGTCTGCCACTGAGGCAAGTGCAGTTCTTTAAAATGGTTACCCCATTGTAGTGCAGTTTTCTTTGTGAGAGGGAAAGAAAAGTAAGAACAGGCCTTTAATCTACTATTTTTATTGTAGTTTTAATCATCAACGCATAATTTTGAATTATGTTTTCTTCATACTTTTGTTACATGTACTATCACCAAACATATATTTCTATAATTTTCACAACTAGTGTTTTAATGTATTTCACTTATTATTGTCAAAACATAAAAAAAACTCCATAAGCCCGTTGCAAGGTATCCAAAATGTGGTACTGTGAAAGGTTATTGTCTCTTTATCATAGACTGACAAGATTAATAAGGACAAGAGTACTTAACCATGGCCTAATGTTCCTGTAGGAAGTACAGCTACAGTTATATTAAATATATTTTTTTACCCATCACTGGGACATCTGATCTATGTAGTATTCAAACCCCACTAGCTGTCTTGCTGTGAGTGTGGTGCATGTACAATGTAGGTGATTACATTTCATACACACAAAATGTGCCAGTAACATTTCTAGTCATTTGGTCTTAATGCAGTATCTTACTTGTTTTGTTGCTTTCCAGGCTGAAAAGGCCCAGGAAGTTGGATATGTTGCAGAAGACCTTGAGCAACTGCTAGAAGGCATCGATGCATTGCTCCCACAAAGTCTTCGACACAAGCTTACCATGCAATACTGGTAGGGAATCTATACATGAAATACCTTTGACACACTAAATACTATTTTGTTTATTTACCAGTAGTTGTTTTCTTTAGCCAGGGTTGCTCGGTATCTAGTCACTGCTTTTCAATGACAGTGATGCCCTGGTAAGACATTACAGCAATTACCTGTACAGAGAAATTGCAAACAAATAAACAAACGAACAAACAAACAAACAATCAATTGTTGATCACAGTTGGAATCATCAAAATACACTTTGATCCTTTAAGTGTTATAATTTTCTGATCAAGTCATGAGGTCAGGCCATGTTGTTGCCATCATTTGAAAGATATCATTTTGATGATGTAGAGGTTCCCATAACTGATGTTATGTTCCCATAACAATGTTAGCTCATTGCAGGGTGAAAACCCTGGTAAAAAATCTATATTTCCTACATTTCTGTTTTAAACATTGGGTATCTGTAGGACTTTATCTGAATTCTTTGTGTGCCTGATGTTTATTGATAGGTACTTGCATTGCTATTTGAAGGTTGTACATGCATTCATATTTCAAAAACATGATACTCCACAAGGCTTAACGATGTTCAGTGTAGTATTACAGATATAGGACATTGTAGAACAAGGCAAATTTTAGATTTACAATCTTACAAGTTACACTAATTTCAAACACTTTCCTTGGATTCCCTTTATCGGCTTTTAATGAATAATACAAAATAACTGTCTTACACTCTTCCCACCATCTTGGATCTTACAAAGGTGATAAATAAGGAATAATATTCAACTTCAAACAAAAACAAACCAACTTCAATCATTATTAACCTACTCTTCTGTTTTTTGTCTTATTTCCCAAGCATAATTGTGAAAGTTGTTCAGGAACTCCATAAGATCTTGAAGGTAAAGCTCCACAATGCCCACAAGACAAAAGAGCAACGAGAAGCAGAGGCAAAGTCTATCAGGGTCAGACTTGAGATGTTTAAGCAGTATGCAGATGAAGTCATGCAAAGGCTGGATGAACAACTCCAGCAACATATTGCAGATGCAAATCATGACTTGCTGAATAATCTATGCAGTGATGAAATGAGAGAAGAGATTGTAGAAGAGGCTATGAAACAGGCACCAACCTTGACCAAAGAGGAGGAAAAGGACTGGAAAGGTGTCAGAAGTACCACAGTAAACCTGGTTTCACACCTTATTGAGGAAAAGGTACAGGCCTGGGACAGCACCAACATGTACTTTGACAGGATGGAGCATAATCTGATCGACAATTTCAAGAAAGAGTTTCATCTGATTGAGGACAGGCACCATGAAGAGATACAGAAAGCGCTTGATCCTGACTTGAAGACAGGTCCTGCCAAGAAGAAGAACAGGGTTACAGCTGATGATGATGACCTCTCAATGCCCACAGGTGGAAAGATAGCACTTGGTGTAACTGCACCACTGTGGATCCCTCTCACTGTTGCAACTGGCTTGTCTGCACTAGTGCTGGCACTGCCTGTTGTTGCATTTGTTGCTGCCAAAGAGAACATTTCAGAAGCACTAGAGAGAAGTAGATTCATCAAAATGTATCGTAATGAGGAAAGCAGGAAGAGGTACTTTGAAGATCTGACATCGAAGGCCTTAAATGGTATATCTGAAGACAGGGAACTACAGTCTAGCCTAGTTGAGAAAAGGCTCTCAAAACCCATTGCCATCCTGAACAACCTCAAGGAAGCCATACCAAATCTTGTTGCAGCTGACAAAAACTTGCTTGATGTTCTTGCAGCTGAATCACGTGGCCAGGACTTTCTTCTCAGCCTATATCTACCACTTGTTAAGGGATGCAGAACACTGCAGGGTCAGATGGAAATGTTTGAGCTGAAGTTTCTGAGCAGTTGCAAGAACAACCTTGACAAAATCCTCAACGATAAGACACAGAAGATTGGCTCTGGACAGTTTGGCGATGTGTTCAAAGTGAAAGTGAGTCGTGGCAAGAAGACAGTTGATGCAGCAATCAAGGTGGCCAAGGAACCCATCACTGTCAACAATGTCACTTCATTTCTTCAAGAGAAAAACAACCTGAGGTATGCTTCAGAACTGCATTTTGGAATGCCCTGTTCCACTATAAGTTATGGTCAAATGTTATCTTGTGACTTGCTGCTCCATGGCAAAACACCATGATGATAGTTGATACTTAAAGTTGTGTTCCAAAACAGCATGCCAGTAAGGCAAAATCTGTAAACATTGCAAGTTGCATTGTTTAGAGATGTTGCCTGACTGGCATGCTAATAAATGTTTTCCTTACAAGTCAGTGCTCCTGTCTTACATGTGTACCCAGCCTGAGAGTGATATAGATACAAGTCATTCACTCTTATACGTCATTTTTCTTCTCCTCATAGGTTCCTGAATCATGCCAATGTTTTGGAGTACTATGCAACAGCAACAGCTATCCATGAAGATTATGTGAGAGTTGGCATTGTCACTGAGCTTTGTCAAGCAACTTTGATGGAATGGTAAGTCTTCAAAACCAGATATCAAATTTTTAAAAAGTGCTTTCATTGTCATATTCTATCCTTCTCAACAATTATAATTTCCTAGAGAGTTTTTCAAATAAGTTATTTATTTTTATTTCAAATGACTGACCTTGATTAGCCCTTGCAATATCCAGTATCATCTAAAAAATACTTGACACCTGCAATACATATTGATGACAAAAATATGTATGTCATCATAACAGAATACTTATCGATAGGCAATCATTTACTGCAAATACCGGGTAGGTAATACATGAGGTTGAACGTTTCATAAAATTATGTTCTACATTGTATTTCTAAATTACCAACAACATTGACTTTTGCTGTGATTGCAGGTTGCAATCCTATAAGGAGAGGACACCAGCAAGATGGGGAGATGAGACTCAAGACATGTATGGAATGTACATAGGTGCATTTCTCAACATACGGGAAATTGGCACACAACTGTGCGAGGGACTGTCTTACATCCATGGGGAAGGATACATACACCGTGACCTCAAGGCTGATAACATTCTGGTTAGTTTCATAAAATCATACACAGTTAACATGTCCATTGATTTTCAAATTTAAGTGGTAACAATGTCATACGTGAGCATATTAACATCAAAACTGAATGGATTGAATTTTGTTTGCTTCAATCCCCAAAAGCTTAAAAGCAAGAATATCACCCATCCCTGGGCTGAAATCTGCATCAGACAGACAGTTGAGATACTTTTCATAAGTCTAGAATACATTTAGATCTACCATGAATGTTATTGTTAATTCTTCAATAAGTTAGCCTTAGCCGTGGACGACTCTAGTAATCCATTTTGCATGATAATGCAAAAAGATTACTAGAGTCGTCCATGGCTAAATTAGCCTATGCTTTCTACATGCACATGTAGATATGACTGTCATATTGTCTGCTGTTTTACAATCGATTCTGCTAAATTATGTATCTAAAAATTTGTAGACTGGTCTTAACATAATCTTCATGTAATGCTAGGTCACTGCAGGTGGAATTGTGAAGCTAGCTGACTTGGGCCTAACCAAGAAGATGGTTGACCAGACAGGTACAATGTGTGGGACCCCTGTGTATGCAGCTCCGGAGGTGTTTGCAGAGAACATGGACTATGATCAGTCAGCAGACATCTACAGCCTTGGTTTTGTCCTTCTCGAGATCTGGTATGGCGTACCTGTATATGAAGATCAGGTCTTCTTGAAAAAGATTACAGAGAAGGCCGATCTTCCTTCACAGCTATTTTTGTCTTATTTACTGCCACCAATTCAGCAATGGCAGAAGCTCATTAAGAAATGCTTTAACAAGGATAAAGATTCAAGACCATCTGCTTTGGTGTGTTTGAAGGAGTTGAAAGGCATGAAACTTCCAGGATTCCAACCCCAATAGATTTTCAAAAACCAACATTGTACTCATGCAGTCAGGATATTTGTTATGATTTTACTTCTGATTTGTGTGTGTTTTCTATTAACTCAGGACCAATTTGAAAGAGAGGACATTGTTACATTGTAAAGATAAAGACCAAATGATAAAAGGATGAGGTGTAGTATGAAATTCCCCTTTTAAATACAATGATAACATGTATATATTGTACAGTATTTTGTATTGAATGTACACATGTACAATGTATATGATGCCATATATAATGGCACTGTGTTGCTAAATGAAATATTTTACTAAAGGATGGGCAAGTATATATACAGAAAATTCTGCCATGCTGTAATGCAATTCTGTACGCCTTTCCACAGGTTTTGAGTTGTGATTGGAATGAACTGTATCATACAACAGATTGATCATTTATTACGTATGGACAATTTGGTTGTAAGATAAACACAATAATGTTTGTCCAGAGGATACTAGGGCTACCAAAGTAGAATTCACTATGAAACAGTTAAAAATTTGTCATTTACATGTACCTTCATGTCATATAAATGTTACATAACATGCATTTATCACAGATAAAGAATATGTACATGTGTCAGTGAAGGTTAGACATCCAGGTAATAAGATACACACACAAAAAAAAAAACAGTTACTCAAGCAACTGGATATGATTTTGGAAAAGGTCAGACATTTCAGGTAGCATCTACTACCTTTTGTCAGTATATATACATGTATATGTACATGTATTAAGCCTTGTATGACTGTGATGAACATGTACATGATATTATGTAAGTGACTTTCAATACACACACACACACACCAGGAAATTTACTAGCAAACAACTCACAATATTGACAGAAGTATTACCAGTATTCTCATATACTAGTATTTAGGGATGTGGAAAATGGTACATGTATGCAGAAGCTTCATCAAATTGTGATTTTACTGGCTTCCCCCCAAAGATATTTGTGATCATATTCAACAGTTTTCTTCTTCTCTCTTAGTACTTGTATTGTACAATACATGACTGGTCACTTTGTCATTGTAAAATTGTACCCGTCCATCAGCAATTTTGGGACATTCAAACATTTGTAGTTCAAGGAGCATCAATGTTATTATTAGGGACAGTAATATTAACACAAAGAAGTGATCAACAAAAACAAGTGACAACTGATAAATGAATTAAATTAAAATGGATACTTTATACCCAATGGTCCACTTGTCAATTTTGTTAGGACAAGGTTAAATTGAAAGATGGAAGTCAAAATTTTTTTTCTGATATATAGAAATGCATGGCATTACATTACAGCAGATATTCAATGATTGAGAAAACACTATGCTTTGACTGGCATACATTTAGGGAGGCAGTTTGTTGACAAAGTAGTGTTATTTTGGTGAAAAAAATTGTTACCATGGAAACTGACACAAACCTTCAACATTTGTCAACTCTGTCGTTTTCCTTCACCATCTATCATCTGACACCCTGTCGTTTTCCGACCACCCTGGCGCGATCCTGAGTCTGGACTCCGTCTGTCCGTCTGAGCTCCTGCCGGACTCCAGCGTGACGCGCTGCCGGGTCGTCCTGGCCTGCGTCTCCATGGCGATGACCTTGATGGCCTGCTGCGCCTCCCTGCAGCAGCTGTGCACGTCGTTAATGACTGAGTCCTGAATGTGCTGCATCATGTCCCGCACATCCTGCAGACGCTTCAGGGTCTGGAACAGACAGGTCATGTCATTAGGGCTTCTGCTGACTTAGTGATGTCCTAAATGCATTTTTGAATCATTGAGTTATGTCATAAACTTTGTTGCACAACAATTGTATAAGGTACAAAGTATGGTATCTAGTGCTACATAGCAAACATACTATGAGGCTTATCTACCTTACCAAGACTTAAGTATGGGATGGGAATGTGCTTTTACAGTCAATGGTCAAATTTCTAGTGTTCAGGCCTTTTTGAGACATTGTCCCATCTTCAGTGTTTTGTACCATAGTCGGCCACAGTACTCCGTATCTGAAGTGCAAAAATAATTTGTGACATACCTCCCCATCTATCAGTAGGAACAGCTCCTTAGTGATGGGGTCCCTCTCTGTGATGATCTGGAGTTTGGACTGGACCATCTCCTCCAGAGTACGGGGGGCCATGGCTGCTGCACTCTTCAGTAACACACTCACCTTCTGCCGATATGCATTTGCCATCTTCCCCAACAGGATTGTGTTGAGAGGGCTCTGAAGAAAGAAGCAATGACATGAAGAAAGTTGTGGTTTCATAGATGTTGAATACAATATCAAGACATGAGATGCATTTGTACAAACAAAAGTCTGAGAAAGGTGTCTGACAGACATTGAAACATAAGCAGGTGACATAAACACTACTGGTTGTAGAAGAAATCACTATATGTTCTAAGAACCTGATGAAATTATTTTTGGAAGTAAAAGAAAATTAAACCCACAATCCATATTTCAATATATCATTCATCCAGACATGTTTATTAAACAATTCAAGTATAAGACGTACACTCTATAACAGCAACATCAAGACAGAAATGAAGGAAAAGAATGATTAAAGGAAAGGAATAAATGAACAAGGCTTTCCGTTTCAGTTTTTAAAAACTAGTAGCAGTTTGAATTCTCTCCTGACCTCATCGTCCTCAGGCTGTGTGAGTTTGATGAGTTGATTCCCGACCAGGACGTCGTGTTCCCCCAGCATCCTCCCTGTCCGCTCCAGCTCGTACAGCACCAGCTCCTGCATGTTCATGTTCAGGGTGTTCAGGTACTCCACGGTCGCCGCAGGGCTGTGCTGCATCCGCCAACAGTCAGGCAGGTACGACATGTGCTGAGGGGAAAAATGGAAGAAAGGCATTCAAAATAGTGAAACTAGACATTATGAAGCAGTTTAAACTGTGATTTCCAACACAAGAGATTGGACCTAGCCAAATTTTTACTGAAACTAGACGTTAAAGAGCTAGAAGAATCATGGTACTGCATTCCTGAAAATTCACCAAAATAAGGGCAGTAATAACACATGACCTCACCTGGTACATGAGTGCCCTTGCAGTCAGCCATCTGTACACAGACAGCAGGTCATTCCTCTCCAGGTAATACCTGTACAACAGGTGAGACAGGTGAGCAGAAACATGTGAACTGGGATGTCATACAAACTAAAATAACATACTGCATTTGTATAGTGAGCAATAGCGTGTGACAATGTCAAAGACTAAAATATGCTACAAATCTCTATAGAAGTATATATTTTGAACTGGGCCCAGACTGGCTCCATATTGAATACATTTGTACTTAATGTAATTGCTACAAAGAAATGCAGCTACTCACTTAACCAGGTGGTCTACATGCATGCTGGCTGCCCGAAGGTTTGGCCCTGTGAAAGGGTCCTGGTTGTCCTCAGGCCCTCCGTACACAAAGTGGAACCTTGCCTGAAAACAGACATGACATGTCATGATCTGTGTCTGAACTGTGTCAAGATACAGAATGTAAAGGAAATTTTACCACACTCTTCTTATACAGCATTACTTATTTTGAGTGGAAATTCTGACAGTGTAATATATGACGTACCTTTTCTCTGACCAGGAAGATGTTCTGATACAGGGATGCTGTGTTGTAGGGGAAGAATCTTTGAACTCTGAAAAACAGAGAAATGAACACAATTTGCTGATGAAAGAATGTGCTGTTACACTGTATATTGTAAGAAACTTTTTCAAAAGTGGCAAACATCATTTAAAAAGATATCCTGATTTTTTGTGATGGCTCCCCATGACTTACTGGTCTTCATCATCCTCCACATAGTGCAGCAGGAAGTGTTTTTCTACAGGCACATATCTCCACCCCTTCTCCTGTACAACAAACACCTGCAGAAACAACATGGAATAGTTAACCAACTTAAAGGATAATCCTCTGGAGGATTAGCATCCAACTAAGACCTCTGGCCTTGCAAGGAATTTGTCACAATTAAGATTAACTTGATACAAACAAAATCTAGGTGTATGATGATTGCTCCTAGGCACTGTGACAAGAATGCAGTTAGACTTCAGTCTATATCTCCCTCATCTCTCTTCTGTTCAAGAAAAATTCACTGATTCAGGAAGGTAGCAAAGAAGTTATTGAAACATTTTCTGGGTAAATGAATAGCATATAATTGTACTGTATAAGTATATAGTAAGAACCTTATTCTCCACTGTTAGATATAATCTACCTTGACAAAAGCAGGTTCCTGGCACTGTAGTGTCCTCTCCAACTCTGCCATGAAAGCGTTCTTCCTCTGTATGACAGCATGGATGGACCACCTCTCCCCACTGTCACCCAGAAACACACCGTATACCAGGATAGTCCCTGTCCTGTACAGGTCTATCAGGTGGTCATATACTAGTGTAGAGGTGAGGAAAAATGGAACAAAAATGTCAATGGATTTTGTAAAAATATTTCAACTTATCTAACTCAACCATACTAATGCTTGTATTGCCATTTTGCTACAGTACAAGAAAGGAATGTTTACCAGGAACAGTTGGATATATTGTATACATTACATATCCCTTAGAATCCTTGACAAAGCAAGATAAAGAAAACAAATAAAATAGAACAGGATGGATAACTAACCAATGGAAAGGTAGGCCTGCAAGGCCTCCCCACTACAGCCCTTGGGTCCCTTGATGTAAGTGTGCTCATGCAGCTCCAACTTCAACAGGTAGGGGGCCATTCTGCCATACAGCCCGCTAGCTCCAGCTATAGCCAAGGCCTGGAATATCTATGGAATCAAGAACATACAGTAATCAAATTTATAGAAGTTGTTTTGGAAATTTTGGAAACTTACCAATAAGGACAATAAAAATGAATGTGTATGGGTTGGTGGGGGTATTGGGTGTGGTCTAGTGTTTGAGGTAGTTTTGTTGTTAAACTTCAAGTTCAATAAGTAAACTAAATCACTTTGTACCTTGAAACTTCCCCTCCTCTTCGGTGCCTCCTGGTTCACGAGCATGTCAGCGAGGAGGGACACCAGACGGAAGTGCCCGATGTCCAGGATCATCAGGGCGCTCACGTGTCCATACGCCTCCGTCCCCGGGATGTGGTAGATGTAGTTGTCTGGATCAATCATTCTTTCTGATCTGTGAACAAGTTTCTGAACCAACTTGTCGGGATTTTCTGTCCACAGTTCCATCCTGAAAGATAAGACAAGCTTTTATAAGTACCAATTATTTACTAGGTGTAACTACTATGTTCTTTGTGTTTAAAAGCAGTTAAGCATCAAAAGGTACACATATATGTGATTTCATGATTAACTTGCAATGCAGACCTCCATGGACCTTCCAAAGTCAGGCACCTTTCTAAGAAAAGTATTGGTCTTTCTTTGCTGACAGTTTCAAATCCTTCACTGTCATTATCAGCTACTGCAACCTAGTTTTGATGATCACTGAATAAACCACAACAATGTAGTAATATATATGCCAGACAGACTATCTTTAAATACAGTCTAGGTCTAATCATGTGCTGTATTTTGTCTGTGAGAAAACACAATTGTCAAGCACACTAAGCATTTTAAGTCCCTTCTCACTTGAGTGCAGCCTGTCTCATGGCCGTGACGAAGCGTGGGTAGGGGTTTGGAGGCAGGTAGGCCCCACACAGGAGTTCCACTAGAAAGTCATGCCAGGTCTCATCCAGCTTTGTGTCCACCATGTACTGTAGGGAAGGGAGAGAATAATTCAAAATTATTATTTCCAAAATTTTCTACAAGGCAGTGATAGAGAAGTTTTATTGCCTTTAATAAATCATAATTTCAAGTTCACCACAATAAATGTATCTTACAAGAGATGTCCCAAAATAAAGAGAAAAAAAATGTTATTATACTGAAATGGTTTACCCCAATGTTGAACTCAGCTCAAGTAAAACAACCCAATTCATTTGATGGCTTTCAGCACCAAGGACAGGTCTGTCATGTTTGTTATGTACACTACAATGGCCTACTGCATAAATCTATTTGGCTAGTCCTAATATGTGAACTCATCATTAGTTACAGTACCTGTAGCTTGCTCAAATAAACCAACCCAAGAAATTTGATGGCTTTCAGCACCAAGGACAGGTCTGTCGTGTTTGTTATGTACAGCACAAAGGGCTAGTGCATCAATCCATTTCCGAATCGCTACTTTTAATACAATGTATATGAATTCAGCACCCGTTACAGTACCTGTAGCTTGTCAGAGTCTGCTATAAAGCTGACCACATGGAACAATACATGATGTCACTGACCTGCATCAGGACAGCCTCCACAGCAATGACCTTCGGCACCGAGGCCCGCTCTATACCTATTTCAACATCCACCGCTGGAGCAGGAATAAAAAGGCATACTGATCACACTGTAGGCAATCTAAGCACAAAGGGGTACTCTAACTTGGAACAGATTTTTTAGTTGTCTTAATTATGCATAAGGTTGCTGTGTTTGTTACCATCCTCTTT